CCACCCTTTTTCCCCCCCCCCCCCCATTAGGCAAGGTAAACCAATATGCTTTTGTGTGTATGCTGCTTTTTAATATGAATTGAAGCCTAGAAATAAGATGCAAATGGAAGACATTCCCTTTTTTTTTTACTTTTTGTGTGTGCGTGTATATCTATGTGCATTTTGTCTCTATGTAGAAGCAGAATCCAGTCTTTAATACTATTTTGCACAGTTCAAAAAGAAACCTGTAAAACTCCCAGAATACTGGAAGAGGGACAGTTGCCTCATCTGTCTGCAGGAGCTTTCAGCAGCTGCCCTTAGTCAACAGATAATAGTCAAAATGAGTTCTGCTAATCTGAGTTAATAAGAGAAGAGGTTTGCAGCTGGGCAATAGTTCCTCTGATTGTATTTTTCTATCTTAAATCCAAGTGAGTGTAAAGCCACCTAGAGTTCAGAATTGGCAAGTACATTCTGAATACTTTGGTCTATGTGTTCAACTTCAGCTACTTTGCATCTAATTCAGAGAAAGGCCAAACACCCTCTCCCTGAGCTGTTCATGTTCTGTGACTTACTGTGGTGGAGTGCCTTTCTCTGAAAATTTTGCTGTAGAGGCATTTGTATACTGTTGAACTTTTGTCTGAAGTTTTAGAAATTGGGTCCTAGACTCTTAAAAGATATTTTGTATACTGCCTTCTATGATGGTCCTCAAGCTGTTGTAGGATCTCATTTAAACAAGGTATTTCTGTGTTGATTGTGCGGGCTAGTATTTATTGAGAAGCTGATAAATATTTTGAAAGGCACTATACTAATAGTTTCCTTTGGAAGCTGAGATGTGATTTATAAATAAGAGAAAAATCTTGTTGCTACAGCTGTTCACATAATTAAATCTCATCTGAAGTATTCTGTACAGACTTAAGCCAATTATACATAATAAACAATTTCAGTCATTTAAAGAGACCATAGTTATGAAGCTGTATTAGAAAGAGGTTTATCTACTTACATAGTCAAGTTAAAGTGATCAGTGCAAGCGTATTCATTCCAAACTCTTTTCACTGTGTAACTGAGTTATTGACTTCTTACAATGACTACAAATGCTAATATGTTACAGCAAGAGCATCGATAATTCTAATTCTAAAATTGAAAAGCTTGCTCTCATCTTGTTTCTACTTAAGTATTCCAATTTGAAAATAAACTAACTGGCAGAAGACAGTTTTTATTTCCCTTCTGTGTACCTTATGCTAAAAACACTCTTATCCCTTCAGATCAAAGAACTTGATGACAACCAGCATATTACTTCTCAACTATTTGTATTTGGGTTAAAGTAAGTTAGGGTTTGAAAGTACGCAGCTTTGGTAGGAATTCACCCGCTTTCACTCTGACTGTTCTTGACTTCCATTCTTGTGGGCATAATTATCGAAGATGAGGTGTCTGAATAACTGTTTATTGCCAATTTTGAGAAACGGTACTAACTGTATTGTTGCTAACCTGTAGCTTTGGTTATTGGTTATAGAGCAGCTTGTTGTGGGATCCTCTAGGCAGCCAGTTGGATCATGGGAAAAGGATTATGATTCCTTTGTCCTTCCCCTTCTTGAAGACAAGCAACCATGTTATATATTATACAGACTAGATTCTCAGAATGCTCAAGGATATGAATGGATCTTCATTGCATGGTCACCTGATCACTCTCCTGTAAGTAACAGTCGTCAGAGGCTTCATGTTGTTAATGATTTTTCAACAGTGCCATTTGATCTGAATCCTAGATATGAAGGAAGAGGATTTGAGAAATGAAGCATTTCCCAACCTTCCCGTCACTTCCCCCCAAGAAAACTGAGAAAAAAAAAATCTTCCTTGAAGCTGACTGAGGAGCAATATCACTGATCTAGATGGAGTCCAGCTGATCCAATTTATTTCTAGCCTGACTGGAGGAGACAAGACAATGTTTTTGCCCTGTCTGTTTGTCTGTCTTTCTGTCAGTGTTTCATGAAAATTCATTGAAAGATACAGGACAGAAATCTCAATGGGTGTTATCATAGAGAGAAGGATTATAGTGTGAGCTCAAGCTGTTTATTCTGTTCAGCTTGCTGGCTGCCCAGCTGACACTCATGGATCTGTGACCTGCCACAGAATATACTGTTTCTTAGCCAGTAGTTAGAGAACACGGGAGGGAACTGAGGTTAGAGTTAAGGATTTCTAGGACAAACTAGATTCTGGGAATGAGAGATAAGGGAAGACAGAAAGTAAAGCTACTCCAGTATTCCTACTATTTTCACTAGCAGTTAGGAAATAGTAAGACACCAAGAGTTGGAGTGCATAGAAGAGATTAGGTGGAAAAGGTGGGGTATTGTGGTGAGGATGGCATGACGGTGAAATACGGTGGGAAGATGGGACTGTTGAGAGAGGAGTAAGTGACTATGTTAGACACAAGTTGATAGGGAGCAAACACCATTAGGTCTTCTACCCCCTGAAAATTTCATTCTTCCACTCTCTAGTTGAAACAAAACTATCTGGAGTCACTGTCAAATCAAAAATAAGAACTTATTTGCAGTCTCTTTCTCAATCTGTAGTATCCATTACTACACAGACCAGTGACAAAAGAGGTAAACAATTGTGTTTTTTCCCATTTAAAATTAGTAAAGATTATGTTGACTCCCCCCCCCCCCATTGAAAAGAAGGCTCATACTCTTACTAAAGCTGCAATTTAGTTTTGGAATTACTTTGATAATAATGCATAGTATCATGCCATTGAGAATTTAATAGCCCATGTTAGTATCGTGATCCAGAGCTCTGTGGATTTTAGTCTTTATTAAGAATTACAATTTCACAATGCAGTTTCAACACTTAAAATATTTGTTCAAGAAAGGTGTTTGTTAATGCACTTGGTACACCAATATGCTAGATTCTCTGTGTACACAAAAAAAAAAAACCAAACCCAAAACAACACTGTTTTGTTATATGCTAGGTTCGTCAAAAAATGTTGTATGCAGCAACACGAGCTACACTTAAGAAAGAATTTGGAGGTGGTCATATTAAGGATGAAGTATTTGGAACGGTACAGGTATGTTTTTCTTTTTATAGTCAGGACATTGACTTTAAATACTAAATATAGTAGCTGATGTTACTGGTATGAATTTGTGGTGTTTCTGTTCTTTTTTGATTAAGGAAAAAAGAGTTAAAAGTTGTGTGTATTATTCCAATGTTAGAATGTAATTGCTCTCATTTGAACAAGTAACTAAGTATTTTTAACAACTTCAGGCTAAGAAGTCCTTGCTTTAAATAGTTATGGAAACTAAGTAATCTAAGAATAATAGGAGCCTCTCTTAATTTCATTGCCTGCATGTGAATCCTCTAAAAGCTGTAACACTCTAATTTTCAGGCCAATTGTATACAGAAGCCATTTTGGATGTATAGTTCTGAATCAGAAGCGGGCTATAACACCGATCTGTCAGCTGTTAACATCTGAAAACAAATGTTTTTATCTTAAACCAAGGATATTAAGCTATCAGTTCTTTAGAATTTGACCATAAAATGTAGCTCAAGTCCATGGCTGCCATCTTAACTTATGGAGAGAGAATTTTAGTAGCTACTGATTTGTTCAATGAAAATACTAATGCTTGACTGTTCACTTATGGTAAAATAATTGAAAAGTGCATGTATGAAATCTAACAAGCTTCTAAGGGATGTTGAAAAGCCTGCAAGTGCTGTGCATGCAAGGAAATGTGAGGCTATTGCATTACCTTGGTTTCTTTGGGAAATAAGTCTTACATGGTTGTGATGTTTGCCTGTTTGTCAGGCAGACATCAGATAGTCTTGACTTTTTAATCCATTGCCAGTTTTAAAGAAATACAAGTTAGAGTTCTCAAAGGTACAGACTTCCTGTAGCTTTCATGAAAACTGATAATTACTTAGAGATCGAAATTATCATTTCCCTTTTCTTCCTTCGGCAAAGACAGAGAGACTGCAGCAGTTATCTTCTGTTTGGCCTGTTAATTAGTTCATCATATGCACAGATCTGAACCAAAGCACAGCTACTATTGACGCAGGGAGCTGGTGCTGAAGGAAGGGAAGGAGATGGAGATTTGGGGAAGAATAGAGGATGTTGTAGTGGGGAAAAAGCTATGGAAGAAACATGGGCTGTTGTGGTGGACACACAAGTCCCTAAGGACACGAGGCTAGTAATTCTGCTGCTCACAGAGTAAATAATTTGTTATATTAAGCATTAACCTGTGATGGAGGCTTCATTAGCCTAACAGACACACTAACAAACCTCTCTGGAGAGGCTGTATTCTAGAGAAGTAGATAACTGAGTTGCTAAGACCAGTTGCATACTGGCAGAGGTCATGTTATTTTTTTCTTGCCCATTCAATCAACTAATCTCTCACTGCTACTTGCACCAAACCATTAGCAGTCTATGTAATGTGTAGAATTTGCGTCTAGCCCTACAACTCAGAGCCCAAGTCTGAGCTCCCATCTCAATTGTAAGGAGGGAGCATTGCATTTGTCTGTTATTTCAGAATGTGCTTGGGGCACTTAGAGGGCGGAGTCAATGTAACTCGCTTTTCCCAAGTTCATTATGTTACAGCTTAAAATATCTCTGAGTTGTTGGTTTTGGTGTCTTTATAAACTTCTTAATTGTAGGTGGCTTCTAAAGTTCATCTGTGTGAAAATCACAGCTTCTTCAAGGTATTCAAGTCACAAACCTCACTCAGAATCTTGGTCAGCATCCAGTGGGTTACTCTGTCTTTAATTTGTTAGACACAAGGACGGTTTAGTTGCAACCAGCTCTGTTATCCTGGTGGAACCTGGTTATGGTCCCACCTGCTACTTCACTTGAAACAAGGTATAATGGAATATTGGCACTGGAAATTGTATTTGGGAATGTCTGTCTCTTTCAGAAAGGGAAGAGCTAAGAAGGAGCTTTCTCTTTCTCCTGAGAACTCGAGTATAAAATCACATTCATATGATTGCATATGCATACTGCATATGCATACAATATGCATATTGCATAAACCTTTTATGAGTGACTACCTTAATAAACACAACAGGATTTGCCTCTGGTATCAACCTCTTTGGAGAGGGCCACAACTGACGCTGAGTATTAACAAATTCCCTCAAGTGGTTATCAGAATTCATTGCTTCTGTGTTGTTGCATCCTAAACTATTTGCAGTATCATGTGCTTACTCTCTGTCCTAAGGTAGCATTTCTGTCTCCCATTTTTTAGGTAGAAAACTACCAATAAGTTACCAGTCTGAGCATGCAAATTTTAAAAGAGAATAGATTTTTTTATTATTATTATTATTTATTAGAATTGTTGCAATTCTGTGAGGTTTTGTCCAAGAAGGCTGAATAACTTCATGCACACAGTCTTCATTAATGCTAATCTCTGAATTAGCAAGGTAATTGGGAACCAATTGTGGAAATGCTGTCCACGGTACAACTGGGTACAAGAGCAGCCCAGTGGACCCTGCTGTACAGGAAGATGAGCTGAATTTGCAAATGTACCTACACTTGTAATCCATTCAAATAAAATGACCATAACTGTATGGGAGGTAGCTGCTTTTATGTTGCATAGAACATCTTTGAACAAAACTTAGTATCAAAAAATGATCAATATTGATATTGTGCTTTCAGGATGACGTTTCACTGAATGGATATAAAAAATATTTGATATCACAGTCCTCCCCTGCACCTCTGACTGCAGCAGAAGAGGAACTTCGACAAATTAAGATTAACGAGGTATGTACAGTGTCTTCAAGCGTGGGTGGGAAACTGGGTGCAGAGTTCCAAATGTATTGTAGGGAAAAAGTCTTTCTAGGGTAGAAAAGGGCAGAACAGAAAATGGCAAGTTTCAGAAAGTTTTAGTGGACAAGAATATAGATTTATTTCTCAATGAGTTGAGACTGCAGGATGATGATGGCTGGAATTGAAGTGGCATGATCTTGCTGAGTTTGCAAGGCCTAGTGTCTGAGTCAGAGGTCTCACTACTGCAGAGCTTAATTGTTGCATTTTTGGCTCTTAACATGCTTTTAGTATCATGGGATGTGCTTCATTGTGAAGGGTGACTGAGCACTGGCACAGGTGCCCAGAGAGGTTGTGGAGTCTCCAACTTGGAGGTACTTCAAAAGGCATCTGGACAGAGACCTAGGCAACTGGCTCTAGGTGGCACTGATTGAGCAGGGCGCTTGGACAAGATGACCTCCGGAGGTGCCTTCCAACCTCAACCATTCTGTGATTGCCCACATACGTTTCCCATGGTGGTAGAAACTGTAGAGAAAACATAAAATAGCAACTGTTGCAGTGAATGATTGCCAGGAGTATTTCAGCAGCCTTATTCCTAGAGGAAACGTACTTAGCTTCCAGGACCAGTGCACTTGTCTTTGAGAGGAAGTGAACGGAATGCCAGTAAAAATAAAATAGAAATCCAAAACAAGTAGCTAGTCCTTTTAAGAGACTGATTTGCTTTTGCTACAAATGCTTTTATAGAAAAACCTCTAACAAATGCCTTTAACCAAATAGTTTGAGGTTTGCCAGCTAGCTAGTGACTGAAAAGTTTCAGAGGATTTTTTCTCAAATTTTTCCTTCACTTGATCACTGTTTGTGTTCAGGCATGTTTTAAAATAGGTCATGTGCTGATCTTATTAGTGCTTTAGGCTTGTATTTTACAGCTGTGGTACATGTGTTTGAAATATGATTTGTTTCTGCAGCTGGATACCAGCAAACCATCGTGTTAAATGCAGCTCTGAATCTTCTCTCATGTTTTCACTCTACTGTGCTTTTGCTTGCAACTTTGTTGTTTACTGACTTTTTTACAGTGGTATCTTTTGTTATTTTCCATGTCTATTTTTGATTAATCCAATGTAGAAGTGCATTCATCATCATCAAACACTGCATTTTACTTGAACAGCTTTTAAAAAAAAAAACAAAAAACAAAACCACTAATGAATGTAAAACTTTTGTGGTATTGATGATCACTTCTGGTATTGGTATTATCTCTTTTGCACTACATACGCTGTGTTTAACAGCTGATTCATGCAGACTAAAACTTTATGTGCTATTATGAAACTTCAGCAGCAATAGCTGTGCTTTTCAGAGATACGTAAACTGTAGATTGCTGCCATTTTGGCTTTGTTTGAAGCATCTCGCAATACATTAAAATGTCATTTCTCTCTTCATTGTTTCCACCATTATGAAGCCTGTAATTAGACTCAGAAAACTATAAAAGCTTTCTGATTAAAAAAAAAAAGAAAGAAAAAAGAGTTTTCCATATGTATATTCTTTCATAATTACCCTAAGAAATATTTTACTGGGTCAGATCAAAGGATCACCTAGTCTGCTGTCAAGTCCCTGAGGGAACAACAGCACAAATCTGGGAAGGGTGTAAGAACATGGCAAGAAGGCCATGATAATTCCCTTGAATACTCTTCTGTTGCCTTAGCGTTTGCAGGTAGGGATCTTCCTGAGCAAGAGATGATGTCTTACTTTATAATTGTTCTTAATGGGTTTTTCATCCATCATCTAGTCTTGTTGTTTTCTAAATCCACATAAAGTTTTTGTTGGCCACAGATCCTATGGCAATGTATTCCACAGCTTGACAAAGTACTATGTAAAGAGCCACTGCCTGCTATCTACTAGTTTATTCTGATATCCCTGCAGATTGTGTGGGGAAGGCAGAGAAAAGTCACTAAGTCATTCCTCGGTTTCCCCCTCCCCTTTGATAAAGCCAACTGTATCCCAGAAAGCCACTGTATCCTGGGCTGCATCAAAAGAAGCCTGGCCAGCAGGTCGAGGGAAATGATTCTCCCCTTCTACTCTGCTCTGGTGAGACCCCACCTGCAGTACTGCGTTCAGCTCTGGGGTCCTCAGCACAAGAAAGACAGGGACCTGTTGGAGTGGGTCCAGAGGAGGCCACAAAAATGGTCAGAGGGCTGGAGCACCTCTCCTATGAAGAACGGCTGAGGGATTAGGGTTGTTCAGCCTGGAGAAGGCTCCAGGGAGACCTTACTGCAGCCTTCCAGTACTTAAAGGCGACTTAAAAAAAAGATGGGAACAGACTTTTCAGTAGGGCCTGTTGCAATAGGATGAGGGGTAATGGTTTTAAACTAAAAGAGGGTAGATTTAGACTAGATAGAAGGAAGAAATTTTTTGCGATGAGGGTGGTGAAACATGGGAACAGGTTGCCCAGAGAGGCTGTAGATGCGCCGTCCCTGGACACACTCTAGGTCAGGGTGGAGGGGGCTCTGAGCAACCTGATCGAGCTGAAGATGTCCCTGCTCATTGCTGGGGGGTTGGACTAGGGGACCTTTAAAGGTCCCTTCCAACCCAAACCATTCTATGATTCTGCTATATCCGTGGGCCTCTGTATTCCTTATCAGTTATCTCTTTCAGGCTGAAGAGTCCTAATCTAGGTAGTTCTTCCTCCTAGAGAAGGCACTCCGTACTTCTGATCCTTTTGCTTTTCTCTGCAGTTTTTCCAGTTCTGCTATAAAATTTATGAGATGGAGGGATGGGGAAGCCAGAACTGTATGTGGTATTCAGGATGCAGGCATGTTACTGATATCTACAGTGTGTAATGATGTGTTCTGTTCTCTACTCTTTTTCTAATAATTTTTAACCTCTCAGTTGTGGGTGGGGAGTGTTGGGGTTTGGTTGGTTTTTTTCTGGGTTTTTTTTTTTTGGTTTTTTTTTTGCCAAGACTGGCCACTGGGCTTATATTTTCAGAGTCATTCAGTGTGACCTGCAAGGTCTTGCTCCTGAATGGTAGTAGCTAGCTCAACCCCGTCACCATACAGGTAGAAGAGAATTGTTTTTTTTCCTTCTGCGTATGTTACTTTACATTTATTCACAGGAAATTTCATCTGCCATTTTATCCACCAATTAGCAGCCATCACTAACAAATCTTATGGTGTGAATTTACTATTTTTAAGTGACTTAGGTGTTTTTGGTTTGCTTTAATTATCTGAAATATGTTGCAGTATGGACAAGTAGATTTTGTTCATTTTCTTAAATGTGGAGTTATGATGGGTTACTCTCTTCCCTTGCCTGTCCCCGCGTTTCACAGCTCACTTTTATGTTTGGGGTTTTTTTCTACCTGCATTTTTATATGGTTTCTATAGTATGGTATTTTATTATGGTTTATTATTTTTGTGATGCGTATTTTATGTTTATTAATCAGGCTTTTATGCAGATATATTTTGCAAATATTTTTTATATAACCTCCTTCATAAATTTGTCAATCTTTATACAAAAGTAAGCTCTTCCACCTGCTTTCTTCTCCTCTTTCCTTGTTTCTGACAAGCTGTTCCTTAAAATGTGGAGTATAATTTAGTGTTGCCCCAAGTATCTTTGTTTTTCATTTTTTTATTAGTTTGTGTCATCTTTCATTAGTGTCTCTTTTTAATTAAAGCTGAACATCTTCTAGTTGGTAGATCTGAGACCCACACTTTCCATTTTGTACACTTTTCTGATTTTTGCTGCTTCATCACCAATGTTAAATATATTTGTGAAATTATAAAAGGAAGTCAATATATTCAAAAGCTAATACTTAGACAATAAGTTCAGACTTGGGAAAATGAAGCGGGAGCTCATTTTGAGAGAAACTGCATGAATGTTAAGATAAATATAAATTCTTGAAAAATGGCTTTAAAATAACTGTTCTTTTCTCTCAAGTAATTTGTAACTAACATAACTGGATTATGAACAATTGTCTAGCTTGCAGTTACCTTGGATTTTTTTACTTTATGTTAGACCTTTTAGAGGTTAAAACTTAAGATTTTGTTTGGTTTTGTTTGCTTTCTTTTTTGGTATAGGCTTTTGGTGGGAGGGTGTTGAAACAGGAGGGAGGGAAGTTACTTTGTTTTTCCTTCAAGAAGATCAGTTTGTCTCATAAGACATAATTTCTCTTTTCCTCTGAAAATTTTGACTGCCTAGAAATGACATTTGTATGTTTCAATCTAAAATTTTTCAAGATACAACAAAGTTTATGAGCAACACTGTCAGTTCAAAAGTATAACACAGCATATGAAAATCAAGCTCTTTCCTCCTGGCTTATTGTACCTTTATACCAGAATTTAACTTAGAGCTTCTTCACTGACACTTGAGCCAGTTTTCCCTCTCATGATTCTGTTGGCTCTGCAAAGCCAGCTGTTTCAGAGATATGAAACTGTTTTCAGGTTAGCAAACAAACATGACCTGTAAATTAAAAAATGCAAATCTGTTGTGTAAGGGGGTGATATTTTAGGGTGGTTTATTCTTGGAATAGCTACTGCTAACGCTGGGTGTAACCATATGCAATGCATTGTCAGTTATTGTATGAAACCAAATAAATGCTTGCAAAGGTTTCCGTTTACATCTCAATTGACTTGTGTTCCAGGTACAGACGGACATTGGCGTAGATACCAAGCATCAAACGTTGCAAGGAGTAGCATTCCCCATTGCTAAAGAAGCTATTCAGGCTTTGGAGAAATTGAAAAATAAGAAACTCAATTATGTACAACTGGCAAGTATAAAATACTTTAACTATTTTTTAATAGTGAGTATAAAATATATTACCCGTACATTAAACAACATGCATTCATGACGTACACTCATAAATTATCATTCTGTATTAGATTAATTCAAATTTTTTTTCCCATCCTGTTGTGTTCTCTGGTTTGCTTTCTGTGTATTAACTATATTCAGGTTTGCTTTGTTAACAGCAAATTGATATGAAAAACGAAACTATTATTTTGGCCAACACACTTCATACTGAACTTAAGGACTTGCCAAAAAGAATTCCAAAGGATGCTGCGCGTTACCACTTTTTCCTGTATAAGCATGCCCATGAAGGAGACTATTTGGAATCCATAGGTATGAGAAGATTTCCCAATATGAAATTTCATTGGCTTGTTTCAAGTACTTTAGTAATTCTGAGGTGCAGAGAAAGATGTGTCATAAAAGTAATCTATCAGCATGAGCATAAATTTCAGAGTCATTTGGTTGTGAAACTGACTTCTGAAGAGTCCTTATGTTTAGAAAGCAGTGAGCTATCTCTTTTGATTATGAACACCCATAAATCAGTCATCATGTGAAAACATAAAGATACTGGCCATTCTCTCATCCTCTATTTGAAATGAAACACTTGCTGAAGCAAAAAAGATCCCCAAAAGAGGTGTCACATTTTTCCCCTTTTAGACTGCATAGTTCATTTGCATTGCCTCCCTGCTGTAAATGAGTTTATGATACCGGTTTTGATGGAGTGTAGTTATGGTCTGATTTGTGTTGTTTTTCTGCAGTTTTCATCTACTCTATGCCAGGGTACACCTGTAGTATACGAGAACGAATGCTCTACTCTAGTTGCAAAAGTCCACTGTTAGAAATTGTAGAAAGACAGTTGTGGATGCCGATAATTAGAAAGGTAAGTACACTGGCTATACTGGTATTTTCTCTATCCCTCTGTTCCCTTCTTAATATCTAACTATAACTGGCTCTGCCACCATGTTCTCTAAACAATGAAAAGTGTTGTGTAACTATTAAAGTTTGTCCTGAACAAGAAATACTTGTTGATAAAGCTCCAGATACAAAGTTAAGTCATGGAAGGCTTTCTCTGGTTATTTCTACACTTTCATAGCTTTAACAAACATACCCTTGTGCATCAAGGGGAGTCTCTGAGAGTACTTTGGAGGACTGTTTAGAACTAACATGATTTCTTACTAAAAGGCCTGTCGTATTTTGGACCACAACACATTGCTGTTGTTAAACACTAAATTCCTTTAAAGCCAAGGTTATTTAAGGATTTTCAAAATAATTTTAAGCTGCAGTTCTGGAACTTAAAACTGCTGCCTTGGGAGTCCTTGATGGGCCAAACAAGAACTTGCAAGTAAGCTGATCTTTTCACATGATAGAGATTTTACTACTATGCAATAAGTTGCTTCTCACTTCCAGAGCAGAGACCATAGGAATGGTCTATAGGAATGTGACCTATGGTTACATTCTTAACATATGTGCTGTGAATTGAGGCTTGGTTTCTGTGGGGATTACGTCCACCTAAAAACCAGCAGAGTTAATACTACCCATTTTTACTGAGGTGACATGAATTAAGTAGATTATCACTATGTGTTTTTATATGTAGTTATTAGAAGCTTGCTTTCTACAACAAAATAAAGGCACCATGTGACTCCTGAAATTCCTGTAGACCTGTTTCTGAAGCATGTACTTGTAACAGCAATACTGTGCCTGGCTGGCAGGTCTGTCAAGTGCTATGGTTGGCGGGCCATGAAGTGCTGAATGCTCAGCAGAGCAGGGCCGAAGGATTTCTCTGAATTCTGAATTCCTGCAGTTCCGAACAATGGGGTTTGGCTTGAGAACAGTATTTTCTTTCCATTCAGGTTTATACGCTTAAATTTTAAAAACCAAAACAGCCCCCCTTTTTGTTCATTAACCTTATTTTGGTTTTTCCCTGGCTTGAATACTTGCTGAGTTGCAGTAGCCAGCTAATCATATAAGCTGTTTGTACTCCTCCCCTTCCATCTCAACAGACAACAATATGTATGCACATTGCTTTTACAATTACTGAAAATGAGTTTTAGTGAAAAAAAATTAATTCTTAAAATGTGGAGGTTGCGTTGGGACAATGAAAAGTTTTGATTTTAGAGGGGAAAAATAAAGAAAGGAAATTGTAGTTCTGAAAGATCCGCATGCTGCTTCCTCACCTCTTATTAAGGAAGTTACTTTACAGATGAGTAAATAAGCACTTGTTTCCACATGGAATGTGTACTCCTAGATAGTATTAACATATACACTGTGCTAAAGCTTGGGACAGAGGAAGTTTCTTGGCATATGTACTGTGTAGTTGTGCTTATATTTCAGGAAAAATAATTAAATTAGGTCACACTTAATACTGGTAAGAGTATAGTGGATTCTCAGAAAAAATATCCAAGATTGCTCAGGGCATTAGGCACAAGTTGGAGAATATTTCATGCTAGATTCTGAACATTATCGCACATACGGTTTTAATATAGTATTTCGAGCTTCAGCAAAATTTCAAAATGTTTTTAAACAGGTCTTTTAAGATGAATAATGTAAACGTTGTTTTTTTTCCCAGATTGAAATAGATAATGGTGATGAGTTAACTGCTGACTTTCTTTATGAAGAGGTTCATCCAAAACAACATGCTCACAAACAAAGTTTTGCTAAACCAAAAGGTCCTGCAGGGAAGAGGGGAATACGAAGACTGATTAGAGGTCCAGCAGAGACTGAAACTCCTAGTGATTAGAAACTGTTGTTTGCATTTGTTATAAAGTATTACAGTAAGAAATGAAATTCTGGCTTTTGGTAATGAACTGAAATCATTCCATTCATAGATGCTAGGGGAAAAAAAAAGGCTGTTTTTACTCTTCTCTCTTCTGACCTCAACACTTCTTATATTGTTACAGGATTATATTTGTTGACTGTGTTTTATGACATGTGGAAGAGCTAATTATTTCAAAGCTAGAAGAGGAAAACTAAGCTAGTACCCCTTTATTTTAAATTAGAATCCGTTATTTAATAGCTGTACATGTGACCATAAACTTTTGCAGACTAAGATTATTAAGCCCATGTATTCTGTGGGTAAGCTGCAGCTGTATGCCTAGATAACAAACCTGTATTCTTATGAGTAGCCTATTGAAACCCATAAGGCTTTCCATGTGGGAAGAGCTGAAGGGCTATGTAGCATTGTCCCAGATAAATCCTTATTTTTCCTTGTGGCTGCAATGGACAATAGTACAATAGAAGGTTTTCTTCTGATTTTGACATGATGTATTGTTGGGTTTTGTTGTTGTTTTGTTTGGCTTTTTTGTAATAGAAAAGATAAACTAAAATCAGTTATCCATCAATTAGTGTAAGCGTTCAGGAATAGCTGGGTGTTTTCCCATGCAAAAGCATAGTCATTTAAAATTTATAACTAATTTAATGGAATTGTCTTTTAAAGAAATCTGACAAAACCACTACAGCTTTGCCAGACTTCTATACCACTCATAAGCCTTGCATAGTAAGTACTGAATGACCAAGTAAAAGGTGATTAAAAGTGCGTGAGTTAGTATATACAGTAGATTATGGAGCTGCTTTCAAAGCAATATGCTTAAAGTTTCTAATAAATAATTGATTATCTATGCAATTGGATCTAAACCTGTGCAAGTTCAGTCAAAATTGAATAGATTTGCATCATAACGGTGAGTTATTCTTGAGATCCTAGTGTGTTTGCAGTATCAACTGCAATTTTAACTTTCAAAGTATTCTGAAAATGACTTTTCCTAAATGTTTGAACTTTAATAGTAACTTAAATCTGTAACAAAATCCAACTAGCTCTGGAATAACTGCTGGCAGCACCTGGTTAGGATTTTGTCTTCCCCCCCCCCCTCCAGAAGTACTAAAATCAGCCAGAATAGTCTAAACTTGATTAAACCATCAGTAATGTGTTTAATAGAAAAAGGAAAAATAGATTATTTTAATAAATGGATTAAAGAAGAATTAGATGTGGAAGTCAAGTATTGGATGACCTTAAATATTTAAAATTGTGTAATGAGGCAAATACTAGTGGATAGATTATATTCCCCAGAGGGGACTTGCTTTTTAGTGTCTTGTATGTGAGTTTTGTGGGGTTTGGTTTTGTTTGTTTTTTGTTTTTTTTAAAGCTACATGGGAGTTGCAAGTCTTGGTTCACTGCATATTATCATAGGTGCTGGTTGTACACATTATATAGCTGAATCGCGTGTTTACCTGGTGGAAGATAGATTTTTAACCTAGTTTTGTAGGGAAATAATGCTTTGACACTACTAGTTCCTGATAAAATTTGTTTTATATATTATTTTGTTTAGAGATACTAGCTTGTTATCGATGTTTGAGATTGCACTATATAATGTGAAGATTGCAATAGTTGTTGGTTTTACTGTGGGTTTTTAGATGCAGTAGAAATTTGACACCTCAGCTTGTTTCATTTAATCTTATACACTACATCAATCCAATTCAACAGCTCCTGATCCTCGGCTCATGTCCTGCTTGCCCTTAGCTACTGTGTTCTTTTTCTGCCTCTTGCCTTCTCCCCCCAGGGCAAGGCGCTGGTCTTCGAAGCCGTTCTTCTATATACTACCTGGCAGGCAAGCATCATTGCTTTTTAAACATGGTTAATGTGTGTGTGCAGCTCATTGTATGCTGTAATTAAATGTATTTTTAGTTGAATTCTGAATCTTTTCAGCACACCTAATTCACTTTGGGTTTTTTGTTTGGGTTTTTTTTTTTTAAAGGAAAACCTTTGAGTGTGGCAGTTAAAAATTGCTGCTAGAGGGTTTGTTTGAATTTAGTATTCCTGCCCATGTGTCAGCCATACCAAGAGTGCACATACATTTTTACACTTACTTGAGCCAGTAAAACTCAATTTTTTTTAATACCAGGTGTTTTAAATAATGAACAGTTTGACCTGATACGGTTCTGTGCATGTTGTGTTTTGGTTGGGTTTTTTTTCCTAATCCTGCCCTAGGTAGATGAGGATAGGAGGTAGAAACCTTAATCTGGAAGATGGCGAGAGCTGGTTAAGTGATTATGCAAGGGCATTGATAACGAGCTGCTTTAGAGTTCGGCCCAGACCAGACATTGTAAGTTACCTTACTTGAAAATACTCTGTGTGGGTGTACAAACCCCTGAGCAGCCAGCACAGCGCTGTGTCCCGAGCGTATTTCCCCCCTCCTCGCCTCTAAAAGAGAATGGTGTGAAGTCTTGCACTGCCCACTGCCTCTCCAGGCCTCTCGTAGCTATTCTCCTGACAAAGCAATAAGCATCATCTGATCTTTTTGCAAGATCTATCACGTTTACATCTGCATAGTGGCCTCACATAACACTACTACCGTTAATGAATGTTCAGAGCCAGCACAAAATGAGGGCATTAGTGGAAGTTACTCCTTTAACTGTCTCTGGTCATTTAATAATTGAAAGTGTCTGTTCAAATTGTTGTTGGCCTTCATAAAGCCCAAAAGCAATGCAGCTGCTTGCAGTTAACTCACAAGCTATTAAATAGTTAATTAACATAACAGGTAATTATTTTTGAACTGTTTATATTGCAAGGTAGGGAGAATTAGATCTTTTAAAACACTCCTGTCAGAAGTTTGTAAAACTAATCAAGGTAATAACTGCTCTATTACTTGGAGAAACACTTTGATAAAGGAAACTTTTGATTTACGGTGTCTATGCATTCAATGAAAACCACCTTCATATGCTAAAATTAACTAAGTTTCTCTATTTTGTAATTTACTTTATAAATAAAGATTGATGCTTTAGATTGGTGTTGTCTGAATCGTTTCATACTCTCTTTAACAAAGATCTATAGTCTAACATCACAATGCGTAAGAGGCAGTTCCCGCGGGACTAGAAAGTGGTATAGAAAAAGTGGTTGCAGGCTGTAAGAAGGGAGGTGGGCAGGAACAGAATTCCTGGCTTTTGCTATTGAGAGAAAAATCAGTATGTTACAAACAGCTACTTTCCTGTTGCCTTCTGGAAGCAGCACTGAGGCCTCCATCGCAGGATCCAAGCGTGATCATCTCTTGAGGTTTTTATGCTGTCAGTAATAAGCCCCTTCAAAAAGTTCTTATATCCTTTTAAAATGCTGAAGTAGTTGATTAGTAATTTAACAGTTCTATCTGTTGTGACTTGCTCAGCATGAGGTAGTATAATTAATGGTGGTGTTCCAGTAATGGTTTTTGTCTAAACTGAAAGTAGTTCACTTGAAGCTTTCCTATTGACCTCAAAATTCAAGCTGAAAAGAACATTTAGTGGTTTGGCTTTTCTTTTAACTGTCCTGCCAACACACGCCCATGGGGAAATCGGTGATATGGCAATTTTGCAGTTGAAAGAAGGAAATCTGAAGATTTTGGATTGAACTAGGATTTAAGAGAATAATTTTAATGCAAAAATGCAATACAGGAACAAAGTTATTCCTGTAAGAGGAGCAGGAGCAAGGTCAGAGGGAATAGGCTAGGCCCCTGTGTCACCATGAATATCAGATGCAGATTTATTTGCATTTTGGTCAGTGGGTGTTCAATAAAACTCCCAGCTGGCCAGCCCAAATATAAAGGTGAGGCAATTCTTCCCATTTCAATTACATGAAGTACTATGGCTGGTAAAAGCTGTGTCGGCTCAAATGGCAACTGGACAAACTGATCAAAGAACATTTGATAGAGGCTTAATAACTAATGAAGACCTCACATCCTTTTCAAAGTTAATGAGCCACAAACTGTACAAAGCCACCCTACCCCAATGCAGTACCTCCACACAGGTGTCCTGTGCCTGCATTCCTTCCTCAGAAGCCGTTAGTCCTGGCTGTGCAGACGCCTCTGGTGTGACTCCCGACAGCCCTTCTCTTACCTCCTGTGGCAGGTAGTTGTGGGGTAAGAAAGAGGTTTCCATAACAGCAGTTTTCTTCAGCTCCTTGGCATTTGCTCTTATCTTGCTGCTTCTTTCTAGAGTCTTAGTTGGAATTGCAACAAATTGCTCACTGGTTTTCGTTCATACTTCCTTCTGGGGGCAACTAAATTGCTTTACGTTAGAGTTCTCTAGATCCTTAACATGCAAAAGGCTGGCTCTTTCACCGAGGGCAGTGATCCTCGGACGCCCTCCACGGCACCTTCCCTGCCGAGACAGGCAATAGGGCAGCCACACCAGCCCTGTCTCTATCCCAAGAACATCTCTCACATGGAGCTTTCTTCACCCACCAGGAACCATACCAAAGTTTCTCTCGCCTCCTGTTCTATGTAACTAGATCATCCCTTTACTCACAAAAAACCTGAATGACTCGAGTTACCGATTTGTGTCCTGGAAAGCTTTACTATAGTAATTAATACAAAGAAGTATGGACCCTAGGATAGGTTGGTTTTGCAGGGAATAAATGAACAAGAAGTCAGCTACTCTTAGCCCCTGTTAATGGCTGTAGGTGCTGACTTTATGAAGACCTCAAAAAAAACTTGGGGGGGAAAGTTCCTTCTCCTTGCACCCTGTGTACTTTTTTTTTTAAAAAAAGTTCTCACATAAGTTAGTTAGCTTTACCTAATTACCTAACACCTCACACTTTCATTCCTCACCAGAATAATATGAGTTCAAAAAATATTTTTCTTTCCTTGTATGAAATGGTAGCGAAGATGCTTCGTTTCCAGTAAGGGAAAACCACTGCCAAAACTCAGGTGCTGACAGCAGCCCTCCAAAGAGTCGTGGTCTACTGTGACAGAAGAACAGGAGCTCATGTGCTTGTAGCCAAGATTCTCCTAATACTTGGAACATCTCGGCTGGTGCATAAACAAAATTGTTCTACCACACCAGAGGCGAACAGCACTGGCTGGGGAGTTACTGCAGCAAACACACTTCAGGACAACACTGTGGATGTATTTTAGCTCCAGGGAACAGTAAAAAGCAGACATGACCTAATAAGAAACCTTCACATTAACAGCTGGAGATGTTTAAAACTGAAGAATGGCTTAAGCAGATTTTATTCTGGTTTAGCTTTATAGCGGCTTTTTT